CTAATATTGGAGTTGCTTTACATTTGAAACTTGATGGTGGTTGGTCAATTAATCAGTTTCAGTACAACTTCAAATATTTGTCACCAAAAAGCAGTGATTGTCACATGATCACAATTTATCTTAAACTTGGTTAAAAGTATCAATTCAGGAAACAATGCTTTCACCACCAAAACTGTGTGCTGTATTCTCACCAAGTCGTATGAATAATATACACATCGATTTAAAAACACTAATGCGTGGCGAAAGCATTGATGAATCAAAGTGAAGCAAAATACACACACCAATGGGTGGTGAGAGTGTTGATGAATCAAAATACATCACTTACATCACTTTCATCAATATCGCTATGCCTTGCTCTATGTATATTATCAATAACATTCAAATCTAGATATAATAGTTTGGTTAATAAAAAAAAAAAATTGAAAGATAAGAAAAGAAACAATCGTATATAAAAACGTACAAGTTAGTTAAAACTGACAATGCACGGTATTATAAGTGGATATATGTTGTACCAGACAATGTGAAGAAAGTTGATCAAACATAGAATAAACACAGAATAGCGAGTATTTTCAGTTGCTAACACCTAATACAAACAATAGATGGAATATGCACTTGAAATTTGAAATGAAGGATCTGTGAGAATGAGGAAGACTTGGAATCTGTCTTTGCAATTCCAAAATTAAGTTAATGCTGTATTTCAGTTGGCTTTGAAATTGGAGGAAAGTATGCAGCATGAATGAATTATGGAATTTATTGAGTGAGCAAAATCTCATAGTACAGCATGACATACAAATGTCAATTTACAAAACACAGACTAAGCATGTCGCTATTAGAGAAATAAATAGAAATCTTGAACCATGAGGTATTGGAGTGCTATACAACTTTATTGCAAGAACTCAATACACTCAAAGACATAAAGCACACCAGTTTTACAATTGATTTTAGTATTTCAGTTCAGTGCAGTACAGAGCCATGAAAAACAACATGCATCTGTTTGTAAACACAGCACCAATTCTCAGACTTTAGGTTCTATTTTGTTATCACCATAGCGACACTCCAGAGTTTAAGTAAATCCACAGAATGAGAAATATGTAAAGTCAGGCAAGTCAAAATCATTTAAAGTGCATGAAAAGTTAGAGATCATGAAATTTACATTCTACTATAGAAATTCAAAAGTTGACTTGCTTGAAACCTATTCTAGGGTAACCAAGTTAACTGGTCTGTTTATTACCTGTTCAAAATTTTCCCCAACTTGTGCTCTGGGTGACTTATTATCTAATTATGTTTCAAAACTAAACTTCTTCATAAAAATTGACCAAAGTAAAAAAGAATTTAGTTTCACTATTTTTCATAAGTCATTTTTGATGTACATGATATATGCAGTTTAAAATCAATTACATCATTATTATTAGAGTCTAAAACTACTAACTACATTTTATACAAAATTTGTTTTCTGTGACAGACTAATGCACAGTTTCCAGAGTAAAGTTTTATATCTACATACAATTGTTAGTAAAAATGTTATCTTACATATTTTAAGCATGATTTTTTTTTTTTTTCAAATTGTCAATTTAATAAGAAAAATACCTTAGGTAAATCTTGAAAAATAAACACACTCGTCTGTTAGCACTTTCAACGAAATTAGAAAATGCATGATTTTTTAATCAAGAAAAAAAACAAAACTAATTTTTATTATGTAAATTTCAAATGATTTAATCCACCTGTTGATGGAAGTGGGAATAACTGAGAGTATATACGCGAAATGATTTCATTCTGTAAGTGTATTGCATTGTCTCGTGGTAGCAAAGAGAACAGCAAATATACTAACCAATCAGAGTTGGCAGTTATTGATTCAAATGGCAATACCGAGGCCGTTAGCATTAAGCATATCTGATTTGTGAGACATAATTTTGAATTTTTCAAGCAGGGGAGAGACATGAAACATTTTGTAGGAGTAAACACAACAGGGTCAGCCGCATCAATCAAATTATCCCCTCACTAAGATTTGTGTCAGTGAAAACAGTTAAATAGCATCTAACAAAAGCAATGATTTATACAACCTTGGGTACTATTAATTAAGGTTTCCTGTATCTGAAATACATAATATTTTCAATATTGTTCATATTTGGATATTACACTACGTCATTGCTGTATATTATCAGAAGGCATTCTATGCTACAAAAAAAAATGTTCATGATCAGCAATTTGATTTGAATCGTTATTTATAAAGTTAGTGTCATAATCAAAAAATACCTGGCTTTCCACTTCTGATATGGCAAGAATAGCCTAATAATCTCCTAGAAATACATCTATTGCCACTTGTAGTGGTGATATAGTACAGCGCTTCTGCAAGCATTGTAATTTTTGTAAATCATAATGATCTTTGTGTTACACATTTTAGCACAAGTAAACAGTAGCACTTTTTTCCCATATGGTACCTTGGCACAAGGATGTTAAGTCATGGGTGCACCAACGGCCAAACTGACTAAGGTCCTAATGATGACCAAATTCAGATCATGTCATCAAATGCAGTACCAGTACATGTTCTTTAAAATCTGTGCACAGTGTAGAATATTAAGGATTCCAGCAATAATTGTGGCTTGATTTGACGCATAGAGTGTAGTCTATAAACTATAGTATCGTATTCAACACATGGCCTGCCTTCATGGATAGTTGATATGAATGGTAAATGAAGGTGTTAGCTGGCAATGTGTTAATTCATTTCATTTACAAAATCAACAACTTAATTAACACAATGATGTCCTCAATTAATCCAATGCTGTATTGCTACATGTTGTACAATTATAAACGTGCTTGCTTCTTACAAACTATTAAATTATGTGATTCGGAAATTGTACACAACTTCTGAACAATGAGTAGTACAGAACACAGCCTGACGTCCAAACAACAATTGTTTTCAATTTTCAATTAAAGTGAATTGACAGGAATCAACAAAATGATCATTGTACTGATCACACAGCTGTAATTGATGATAACTAAATGTTAGCTTATACTGTCAGGGTCAGAGTACATACAAGATTTGTTATCTCACTTGAGTGACTAAGTTTTATTGTGTCAAATCTGTGTTTCCACGTTTCCTCACACTGAGGCTGGTTCTGATATCAGCTGAAGCACCATGTTATTTTAAATAGTTGGTATTTGCAATATGCTAGCTTTTGATGGTTTTTTTGCCAATCAGTTTATTTTTTAAATCTTTAATTTCATGAAACAATGTAGCAATGCAGATTCACAGATTTGTATCCTCGATATGATATTTAAAAGGTTACATGGTCCTAACAAAGTCAGAGGGCACACCTATACGAGTCAGAGGGCACCCCTATACGAGTCAGAGGGCACCCCTAAGTAACAATTCAGCAATAAATGTAATGGACTGCATTGTGTTAATAAAGTCTCATAGATGGTGAAAATTACAGAGACATCTACTACTACTGCTTGTTGAATCATGGTTAGAAAACTGCACCCATTACAAATGGGAATATGATGCGTCATATTTTGCCATTAAAGTTCCACAGTTCATCTATAACCCTGATATCTATTCATTAAAAAAAAATGCATGAAGCTATGCTATACGTTTTTGCACTTTGTAGACAAATATTTTCATCGTGATATTATATTCTGAGCTGATAAATGGTAAATAATTCCTACCATCCAAACTTAGTTTGTAAAAAAAAAACAAAAAAAAAAACAGCGTTGACTAAAACTTTGCACTGAAAGAACCTTGCTAACTTAGTCCTGGTGTAGACTAGGAAATTACTATGTTAATTATATATGCATTCAAGCTACGTCTCTTCTGGCACAAAAAAATACCTAGCTTTCGAAATGAAGAGTTCAATAATATCTCTCATTTTCATGTTCTGAGCCATCGCTTCAAAAGAATTGAATTCAGGATGTAGTAAGGTTGGCCACCAACATACGGATAAGTTCTCACAGTTCATTAAGTTATCCTGACTGTACTGCGTTACCCTGTTAATAAAACAGAAAATAAAGGTAAAAGAATAAATACACTAATCATACAGAAAACAGTGTGAATGCAAGGTATGTACCGTACTATATGACACTTTCTACATTTACCAAAAATGTTGTCACAAAAAATGCATTAGAAACAAAGCACTTGGATTCACAAGTCACGAAACTTGCGTTAATTGAGAGAAGTAATGTTGAATTATCACAGAATAACAAAAGGCTTGTAATGAGTAATCTGTCAAAAAGTATGTTGCTATATTAAAGATGCAATATCGATGAGAACGTGTAATTTCAGTATTATTTGTTTGACACTGTATATAGATAGATACATTAGATTACGATTTATCAACACATAAACATGTCTTCATAAAAAGTTTTTTTTTCAGCACACATTTTAGTATTCGTTCTGTGAAACAATGAAATTCTCTAATAAGTATGAACACTGGTTGTTTTGGTACGTACAATAACAACCACTACATGCGTATTAGTGCGAGTATTAGCTTTATTGATTTTTAGGCTAGTGAAAACTATACTTTTAGTTTTTGGTCTATATAGTATGGAGTATCCAACAACAACAGTCAAATAAAATACATGTTTTTGTCCATCATACATCTCTTATTGTAACAAGTAATTGACA